CGGGGCAGTAGGAAACCTTTAACAGCTCTGGACGATCTATTTGGGGTCGTGCTACTTAAAAGCTACTTTTCGGACGTGAAGAACTCCTCTCTGCATCTGCCGTGGTTTAAACCCGCGCACGGGAAGGCTCCCCCGCTGCCGGTGCAGCCCCGGGCGGTGCCTGGGCTTCCCACCAGGCCAGGCAGCGAGTGGAACTTTTTTCCCACCCTTTTGACACAACTTTGCAATGATTTTTTTTGTTTGCATGAAAGGCGTTGAGAATTACATTAAAACTGGCAGAACATTGCATAAGAATGCCCTGCAGGGTAGCTGAAAGAACAGATCTCAGATCATCGTCACCACAAAGCACTTTTATTCATTTAATTGCACGTTTTCAAAACAACAGGCTGTGGAGATACAATTTAAGTGTAATATTTTTACTTGATCAGTAGTTGGCTTAATCGAATGAAACAAAAAGCGCAAACAACATATTGAGGATTTTTTCCCATTTTAATTCAGCATATTCCTCGTAAGCATTTAAATTGTCTCAGTGATACACAACTGCTAATGCTGTTGATTTTGCCTCCTTTTTTCTGTAAAACTTATTTCAGGTTTTCATGAAGAAAGATTAAAAGCCAGCTAGCCTGCCTAACATGAACAATGCTAGTAATGAGTCCCTGTATTCCCAAGTTCTCATTCCACTAGCAAAAGCAGAGCGACTTTATTCCAACCCATAAACCCATAACCATTGCTTCCAAAAGGTAATTTAACATCAAAGCTAACTGCAAAGCCATGTGTACGTATCTGAAGTTACTTCCTGGCCCCTCAGGGGAAGGCACGGAGCTGTTGCACCCCCCGAGGCACAGCCAGGCTCCAGCCTGGAACGTGCGGTGCTGTGTGCTGCGCTGAGCAGCTACGCAGGCAGGGGCTGGGTATGGGATCGAATACATCCAGTGGATTCACGTAGTATGACCCCAGTGAGAAATCCATCCAGCTTTCCAAAGTGCATACTTCACCGTGAAAGCCGGGCAAAGATTTTGGAATGAAAATAATTTTCCAGACTAGAATATTCACATGCATCACCAGGATAGTTACCCTGTTCTCAATAAATAAGAGTCCGCTATCATAGCTACAAAACGGTCAAGTTCTCTGTAGACACCCCCTCAGCTTCAGCTTGAAAGTTCATCACCAAAGCAGGACAGCTGCCATATTCAGAGCCAGAGCTACCTGAAAACCTATTTTCTGAGCAGCAAATCCAGGTTGGCCAAATCCAATTAACTGGAGGACTAGATAGTCTAATAAATCCACAGATTCTAATGAATCTACAGATTTATTATAGAATAAGCTTTAATAGTACCTGCTCTCTGACTCTACCATTGTTGATAAGCTTTTGACATGGAAATTTTCTCCTTAACTTATCCCATCCATTAATGGGAACAGAATAGGCCTTTTCCACGTAATATTCTTATGTTACTATTGACCTCACGTTTTGCTTTAATAGTGAATGTTTGAGAACATCTGTAAATAGCTTTCATTTCATCCACAAACTTAATTCCTATTTTAATTCTTTAATGAATATAGCCAATTAATTAGGGTCCCACTTTTTAATTATCTTTTAATACCTTTGTTTCAATACATCAGAAATTTGCCTCTGGTGACATTAAACAGGAAAACCGTAGAAGCGTTATTCACTCACAACCATGGCAGAAGGCTAACTGAGGACAGCTGCTCACAGCACGCTAACAGCTGTTAACAGCGCACTACACAAGATATCAGAGAGCTGTAGCAGTGTTAGAGGAGAAACTCTGGGCCTCCTTTTCAAGTCTAACAGGAATAGAGAAATGTGAGAGATTTTCTACCTATTAACTCATGGTTCCTGTTTTTGAAGCCATATGCTCAATCTGTTCCTTACTGTACAACCCAATTTTTTGCATACATTTGAAGGAGCACGTAGCATTTACTGGAAAGGAGAGATTAGCATTAAGAGATACAAGCTCAAAAAAACCCCCAGCATTACACTGGCCTCTTATTGAAGAGGATAACACAACACGTTACATATTATAGGCATTTCACTCAGATGGCAACCAAGGCACAAATGATCAGACGAGTCTTATTCTCCAACTAAGCAGAAGCCTTCTTCATGTTTTTCTCTGCAAACCATTTGTCACTCTTGTCTGCTGCCATGGCCTGTACAAAGAAAAATTTTAGTATTTAGAACAGAAGCCCATTCAGCCAGACACCTGGTTGCTGACATTCACCAGCCTGCCCCACAAATTTAGAAAGCATCCTTATAATCAATCTAGTTCTGAAGCAAGCTATTCTGCTGAGGAAACCTCATGGTTTCTGCCAGTGCCTCTCTGTTGCGGAAGGATCTTCAACTGCAGGGATGTTACTGCAGCTGACAAATCATTTTCTGCAGTAACTTGCACCAAAGTGTTGTTTGACAGGTCCAGCAAGATGCACAACCTCTTGGCTGCCCTGAGAACAAGGCTGGAAAACTAGCCAGGACACAGAAGTGAACTCTAAAAATTGATTTGCTTTCCTTAGCTGGAAAGGAGACTGAGATAAAACACCACATGACTTGCTTCTCTGAAAAAACTCCATTTGGAACTAAAGGGAGCTTCCTTGGAAAGGAAATTAAATTCTACTGGGCGTCTAACTGATCAGTATGAAAACTCATGCATAGACAGCATTACTTACATCATCTAACAGTTTATCACCATTAGGATCCACCTTGGACAGATCTCTAAATGCTTCATCTCCCACAAAGCAGATTTCATGGCCATCCTAAACCAAGTTTAACAGCACAGTAAGTTAGATAACTGGGAGACAGATATTTAAATCAAATCTGTCAGTCTTGCCAATATTACTCACAGGATCCGCCAAAATAATCACTTGCACTGTGGCTTTGCCAGGTGTGTCCAAGCTAACTAGAGGTGTTAAAATTTTCTGATGCTCCTTTTTCATGAGTGCTTCAATGTTTGGCAACTGAAACAGAAAAGAAACAAGACCAGCCCTAGTCAGTTGAAGATCAGATGCATTCAGGTTGTTCTCGTTTACAGTTTCCTGTTAGCCCGTTTCTCCATTGTGTTCTCACTGCAAGAAATAGGAACAGAACATCTGTTCAGTGTTACTTTGTTCACATCTGAGATATTTTGTTAATACCAGAAAATAATCTCCTAGTAGCCAGCTGGCCAAATGAAAGGGGGAAGAGAAAAAAGATTACCTCTTCCTTTGCGCAGGAAAAGGCAATCCGCCCAAATGCCGTCCCATGATCCACTGCTCCTCCAACGTTCTTCAACTCCAATTTACACTGGAAGAGGAAAAAAATAGCCTAATTTGCAAGGACACTATTCTCAGCGCTACACTTAACTCCAGCTTTTCACTGATACCGATGATGTCAAAACTACCCACATACATATTTCCCAATGAGTTAGAACTACCAGAGCAAGCCATAGCTTTTGGTTAAAAAATGAATTAAGTGCACACAAGCACACACACACACACAAACAATCCAAAGTAGGAAAGACTGAGAATTGTTGACAGTTTCAGCCTTTCTTTGCAAAACATTGAACAAGTAAGTTCACTTGCAGGTAAGTGTCTCAACGGAACAGTCAACTTGTACCACTGATTTCTATTTGTATAAGCATTCTGGGCAATAATTCACAAAGGAGAAATGCTTTTAACAAATCATTTAAAATGTAAACCCAGAAGCATTAACAACCGTGAGAATCTCTTCTCTTGCAACGTGTAAGAGGTAAGATAGAAGCAGGATGCACTAATAAAAGCTAATGTTGAAAAGGTCAGAGAAACACTTGTTTTTATGAAGAGCTTTTCTCCTTTAAGATTTTGTTCTCATGAATAAGAAGCTTCTATCACGAAATACAACTCTTAAAGATCAGAACTGGAAAGTTTTCTATGAGACTAACCTGGTTATCTGCATAGCCTAGTAAAACCCTTTGCTTTTCCTCATCCTTCTCATATATTTTCATCCCAAGCAAATTAGACCAGTAGTTAATAGACTTCTGCAGATCGGAGACACCCAAAGTTACCTTTAGCACAGGATCTATAAGATTGCAATAATTTCACATTAGTTACAGAGATACTGTAGTTTTAAACTCATTGTTTTACATTCTCGAGATGAAGAGAGAAACAACAAGGAAATGAAACAGAAACATGCTCCTGTTTCATAAAACGTTGCAAGCCAAATGCACAGCCAATTCCAGTATTCCACTTGTAGGCCTCTTTTGAATGTAAGTAAGAGTAAGCGGACATGCTTTACCTTGCTTTCGTTGTTCTTTGTCTTCCAAGTAGAACTTGTATCCTCCCGGGGCCTCAGTTTCAAATATACCAGTGGCAACTTCGCTGAGGGGCCATCCCAGCTTCTTAGCATTGCTCACAGCCTGGCTGGACACAAGTGTTATGCCCTAGCAAGAACAGAAAGGACACATACAAAATACGCTGGTGCGAAGATGACTGAGGTGCCTCTCTTCACCGGCTTGCACTAGCACTGGCCCTCCAGTTTATATGCATCGATAAGGAGAACTCTGTCTTCCTCCCTTTCACCCTTCCAGGCTACATTAGCCACAATCTTGGATCCAACCTGTGGTTGTGGTCAAGGAGATCTGACCACCAGACAGAGTGGATGGTGCATAGTTCCCCCCTTTGAAATAATCTGCCTCTACATATGAAGACCGGAAGCAAATCAGATTACTTTTGCTTAGAGATAGACTATATGATCTCCTGAGAAGCTGGTATCTTGCTCCTGCAAAGTAAGTGTAATCTGACCTCTCATCCCACATATACACTGAGAACGCGTTAACTTACTCTTCTTTCACATCAAAGGGAAACGAGAAGCAAAAAGGATTTAAAAGCCTGATACAACACACTGTACAGAAGCAAAAAACCAAATTCCTAACCGTTCTACCATGGTAGGTAGACATCTGTGGCCCTGCATCTGTCCCTTGACACCTCTCAAAGTAGGGGAAGAAAATGAGATTATGGGAAACAATGAGCAAACATATCACACACAATCATAGAAGAAACATGAGATCCTCATTGGCTGTCAGCTAGTAAATAATAAATAATAAAGAAATATAACAAACAACTGTGATAAACAAAAGTGTTTTCCCATAGCACGGTCCTTCTTAGCTAACCATTCCAAGTTGGACCTGCCAGAAATACCATACGTCCTACACCCAGCAACTAGGAGTTGGAAGGTGCTCAAGGAAACACTTCCTGGTCTCCTAAATGCACACAAAGCTGCTCTAGTTTCTGCTCTAGTTTCTGCTCTTCCAACTTGGAGAGAACTACACAAGCAAGCATAAAAGTATCCAAGGAATCAAATAGCATGAAAAAGCAACTGTCACAAGCTATATGCTGAACAGAGTCTTAATAAATAAAAAAAAATTATCGTAAGAAGACAGATTTTAAACGTAACACTTACCAGAAAGTCATTGCCAAGTCGATATTCTCCAATACCGTAATTGTACGTCAATTCTGCAACAAAGTGATTGTCTTCTGGTCCATAGCCCACCATTGTTTTACTCCACCTTCCATCATAAGGGCTAAAACAACCATATTTATTTGCAGCAAATATTAGAAATTAACTTCAAAAACTGCAAGTGTTTGCACCCCAAGACGAGAAGTGCATTTCTAGAAAAAACAAACGATACAGCTAATCCAGCAACCTCTGCGTTAAGTAGAAGCTGATCCTCGTGAAGAAGTCTTATTATGGCTAATAGTGATACAATAGCATATAGCTGACAGGCATGCCTATAGCCAATAGCTTTGATTTTCGGTTGTCATTCATAATTATTATAACTGATAAAAACAATTCTACCTACTTCTAACCACCTCACATTTCAAGAGTGCAAGCTGCTCACTGTCTGGAGTTATACAAGCACTCCCTTATTATAAAGTAGGAAAACTAAGCAGTCAGTCAACAGATTATAAGATGCTTTATTAATTAAAAAACAGAACAGACAAAAAAGATGTTGGGGCTACCAGAAAGGATTTTTATTCTGGACCCTAGCCAGCCCCGTGATTTTAAAAACCTGCCGCCAAATCAATGAATGTAATTCCGGGAGAGTTTAGAAATGATTCCATAGGGAGCTTACGGGTGTAACACAGCAACGTTTGCCTTTCGTTGTAAACCCCGCACCAGCACAAAAAGGTGCGGCGTTAGTTCCACGTGACAAACAGTTTAGAGAGAATACAAATCTACCTAGAAGATAATGTGACAGGCGGTCACATACGACCAACCACGACTGAAGGGCGCTTTAGGAGAATCAAAAGATGAGAGAAAGGAAAAGCTGGTTCTCACCCATTGCAGCTAGCTTTACAGCCTTCCTCGAACTCTTCATGTCTCAGGACCTGATGAAT